TCTAATAAATGGAAATTCTACTAAATAAAATTCTACTCAAAATTCGTATGAATGACTTTTTTGTTCAATAAATTGTTAGGAAATGAAAATGTTAATGTAAATTCTGTTAAAAGACAGAAACAAAATTTCGGTTAAAGAAAAATTGTGATACATAAAATTATATTTTTCAAAAATTATAGACAATTATTTAATCATAAAAACTTACTGGGTAAACTTTTATAACTCTCTCTTTCTCGTTTCTTGAGGACTTAAAGAGTTTAAAAATATTTAGCAATATATGACACATTCCTCCGTCTCTTGAAAATGTGTCATTTGGGATTAACTCCAAAGACGATGCAATTTTTACACTAGCAGTCAAAAAATTGTCCCTCATATTGACTACTGGCACATCCACAATTTTCGCGAACTCCCAAAGAAGCTGAAAATGTTTATACAAAATTAATAATTATTAATACGAAACCCTTTTCCTCAACTGATTGTTTGTTAAAAATAGTGTATTGCGATAAGTAGCGGTTCAAATTACTCATTTTGATTAGTTTTACAAATCTACAGGCCTTGGATTGACTTATTTAAGGAGCAGAAAAAGTCGCTTTAATCAATTAAAACTCAAGAAAAGTCTTTTTTTAATTCAATGTTTGTAACAAAAATTTTATTTTGTATTTTCCTAACCTTTCCGAAAGTTCTTGGAGAATTCAATCATTCAATAATAAAAATTAAATTTTTTATAAAATAACCCTACAACTGATAATTCTTAAGAACTTAGGAAGGCGTAATGTTTTCTAAAACTATAATAAAAGCTTAAATTAATTTTGTTTAAAAATATTTTTAAATACTTTTTAAAAGGTAATAGTTTTTCAATTACTTAGAATTAAAGAATTAATAAAACTGCATAAAATCTTTTTAAAATAATTGGATTTTTGAAAAATATAAAAAAATAATCAAATTTTTAAAGAATTTTAATTATAATTTAATTATAAATATGAACATGACTTCTCCAAAATTTTAATAAGTTTAAAAAAATAATTTTTAAAAATTTAAATTTACTTTGTTTGAAGGTAATTGAATCTTAAAAAAGTATTAAACAATTCTAAGATTCAGTTCTTTAAAAACATTGAAGCGTAATTAACCGAAAATAATTGAATTTCTTAAAAGAATTTATAATGTTGAAAAAAATGAATTTTTTTAAAGAATATTAAATAAAAATTTTGAATATGATTGTTTCCTCCAAAATGTTAAAAATAATTTTAAAAAATGTTAATGTTGTATGTAATTGAAAATAATTTGAAAAATTGAATGAAAAAATGTTAAGAAATACTTTTTTCATACAGATATATTAATATAATTTCTAATAAATAAATTTCATTAATTGTTAATGTAAAACTTACATTGGAAGAATTTTTTAAAATTTTTTAAATAAACTACTTAAAAAAAACCAATTACCAACAATTAAATTTTTTAATAATTATAAAAAAAATGTTGATTTAATTGTCTTAATAAAGTTATTCAAAAATAATTTTTGATAGCTTTGCCTGTTAATTATTTTTCACACTAAAAAATGGAAATATCTGTAAATTCATACTAAAAATTTGTTGCAATATTTTGAAGAAAAGTAAAAAAAAGTTGAATTTTTTGACATAATAGTATGAAATAGTAAAGTAAATCTACTGTTCCAAAATTGACTATAAAACGATTTATAAATACCAAGTCCGTTCTTCGCAAAGCTGGAAATTTGTCAAAAAATTGCGATCCATTCATTTTTGTGGCATCAATCATTCTTCCTGATCGAGTTTTATTCAGTAAATCTTTAACTTTTTCTAAATCAATTGCTGCTCCGCCAACCTTACTGACTTCTTTATTCATCTCGGCGCAAAGTATTACGTTGCTAAAATCTTCAGCCAATTCATTTTTAGCATTTCTATTTAAATTTTTTAAGCTACAAAACATTCTCCCCAGAGTTTCTTCCTATAAAAATAAGATTTAATGTACAATTTTACTTAAATATTTCAAAATTAATTGAATTTTAAAAGTGATGCGTTTACAATTTTCAGAAATAAATGCACTTCAAAAGATTTGAGCTTGATATTTTATAAAATTTCTGTTTTGAAAGAATTTAATTAGAAATTTTAAAGAACTTGTATTTTTTAATTGTAATAATATAAATTCTTGTAAAATAATTAAAAATCATTAAAATAATTTATAATTATATTCCGAACTAATAAAATTCTTCGCAGAAATCAAATTATTTTCATCAATTTCTTAAAAATGATTATTATTTTTCAAAATTTTAATAAAATTTTGAATTTAATTATTTAAAAGAGAATACTTTTTCTTATACTTTAATTATTTTTAAAAATATTTAAATTTCTTACAGGAATTAAATTATTTTCATAAATATAATAAAACACTTTGCAGAATTTCCATTATTTTTAATACAATTTTTATTAAATTCTTTTAAAAATATAATTAATTTTAAAAAATTTATTACAATTTACGACAAAAGAATTAAAATATTTATAAAAATTATTTATAGAAATTCTATTTTTAGAAACAATCTATTATTTATTCAATAAATCATTTATATTTGTATTTAAATAATTAACTTCTTATAGAATTTTCTCATAAAAATTAATAAAAAATAATTAGCAAAAATTAATTAAATTTTTAAAATATTTCAAATTAAAATTTTCGAAAATCTGAGTTTTCATACTTTTATATTCTATAAAATTAATTTTTCGAAAAAGTTTAATTGAAATTTTTTCAATTGTTTATTTTCTTATATATATATAATTATAATATATATATATAATTGAAGAATTGGTGAATAATTAGAATTTCGTATAAAATTGAATTGCAAAGGAATAGATTTTGTATAAAATTATTTAAAATGATTGATTTAAAGAAAAATAGAATACTTTTAAAATTTAAATGTTTAAAAACTTACATGTTTTAATCCAAACTTCGCGTTCAATTGAGGGAACTTTTCACACAATATTTTTGACATTTGTGTGATATTGTCTTTATTGTGCAAATTTCTTGAAAATAAAACTTTGACTGTTTCTCGGATAATTGTGCATTTTTGGTTTTCGCTCAATAAAGCGCCACTAACAGCAAGGTTCTCTATCCCATGTGGAAATTTTGTGGGAATTAAAGTTTCCAATTGAACCTAAAATATATATAAAATAATTTATATTAAAACTGTTCTAAACAATCAGGGCTCGAACTAGTAAAAGTATTTAAAAATATGGACTTTACGAACAAGAGCTGAAAAATTACGGACCATTTAATTAAATGACAAAATCATTATCAATTCAATTATTTTCAAGAATTTTTAACTAAAATTCTTCTTTAAATCAATTATTTTTATAATTTTCGAAAAAATTCTTCGAGAATTTTCAAATTCATTTGTTTACCATATTCATTTTTACGAAATTCCAATTATTCGTAAATTCTTTAATTAAATATATATTAGAAAATAAAAACTTCAAATAATTAATTATTTCTATTGAAATTTTGACGAGAAATTTTATTAAAAAATTGAAAATAATTAAAATCTGACAAAGAATTTTAGTTAAATTTTCTTTTTAATAATTGAATTCTTGTAAAAAATTTTATTTTTAAAAAGAATTAAATTCTTGGGAAGAATTTTACGAAAAATTCTTAAATAATTGAATTGCTTCGAATAATTTTATTCTTTACGAAAATAATTGAATTGTTTCGAAGATTTTTACAAACATTTTTGACAATAATTATTTTCCTAGGAAGAATGTTATATTTTACACAAAAAATTGTATTCTATGATCAATTTTGAAATAATTTTTAAAAAAAAGACAACATTTAATTGTTTAAACAATTTAATAAATTGTTATAAAATTTTTTTTATAAAGCAGAAACACTTAAACATTATTTTAATAGGTTTTCGATTACTTTTCTAAATTAATGAAGCTAGAAGAAATATTTTTTACGATTTTTTTAATACTAGTTATTAAATGTGTTTAAAAAGAAAAATTCTAAAATCGGACTCGAGAGATGAATAACGAATTTAATTACAAAGATTTAGAAAAAAGGAAAAATTGTATTTGTAAAAAATGGTGACCTATAGAGTGATTTGAAACGAAAAAGTACATTTTTCGCCACTTTAGGCCATATACAAACTACGTAAGGATTTAGGGTGGATGGGGGTCAAGTTAAATCTTACAAACAGCAAAAAAATGACGCTATGTATGGAAAGTGTTTTACGATGGGGGAGGGGTGTCAAAATTTCTCAAAATATGGCTAACGTAGTTTGAATAAAACTAAAAAACAAGAATTAAAATACCTCTTTATTCATCGTGTTATTTTTCTTGACTGATTGAGTTGGTCTTCTCCTTTGTTTGATTGACTTTTTGGAAACCTTGGAGTTTTCAGCGATTTCTTTGTTATTTGTTGGATCCAACGTGGGATGTTCCTCAAATGATGCATCGTCGAATTCAAGTGGAGCACCGTCGAATTCGAGTACAAGCGTACTATTAGATTCTACAACTCTCATTCCTACTTGTTCTTCGTTAATGTTGCTGTCCCCGTTTCCACCTTGGTACATAATTTCTTCGTCTATTCTTCGGTGTTTCGTGGGAGGACATCCGCAATAGTTGCACAAAGATGATTTAGAAGATGGTGACCAATCAAACTCGTTGCAATGAGTGCACTCGCAATTGCCTCGTTTTACTCCTCTTGAGTCTTCCATTTTGTTTTCTCTGTATATGATAATAATTTGATATGTTAAACAAAAATTATTGCAGGAATTTTTTGTAAAAAATTAATTAAGTAATCACAACTATAAGTTGAAAAATTAATACTTACTTTCACGATATAACTTTCACGATGCTTTTCGTTCGTCGATCGTCGTCTTATGTGCACGTATATCCGGCCATGACACTTCAGTTAGAGTCGGGTTCTTCTTGGTCGGGTTCTTTAAAAACGCATTTACGCATGCGCAACTCGTACATACAAGTAAAGGCCTGACTACAACAACTTAAAGTGTTTAAGGTGGCTATACATTTACGTGAACGCAAACGTGTAACGTCACAATGGAGAAATGCTTTTTTGAAATAAGGTGTGGATTACTAAGGGTGGATTTTCACGATGTCGAAAATGAGTTCACGGAGGTGAGACAAACATAACATTCCTCTGCCCTAGGAGAGAGAAAGACAAGACGATTTTTCCAAAAGTCGCGTGAACGCTATTTTGATATTTTTCTGTAAACTTTTTTTAACAAAAAAGTGACAGCGTTTTGCTTTGTGTTTTGAAACTAGGCCATGAGAGTGATTTATATCTCTATCTTTCTCATACTTATAGTCTGGTTACCAATCGCAATGTTATTCAAATGGGTGACGTCACACGTTCGCGTTCAACGTTATTCTGTTCTCACCTTAAAATTTTTAGACTCAGATCGAACTGTGAACTAACCTTCAATTTAGCCCTACGTACAACCTAACCTATTTTACCCAATACATTGTTAATGTCATCTGTTTGTTTACTTGCACGATTTCACCAGTCAAAGACAAAAATTAAATACAGTTGATATAAAACACAGATTATTCTGAGTAATTGTATAAATATAAAATATTGTTCTGACAGTCAATGCCAATATTGGAGAAATATATAAAAGTATTTTATTATTTGAAACTGCAGTTTTAATCACAACTTGTTTTACGATACTACGCAGTTCATGATTATTGCACATGAAATTTTTAGGAAATTATTACCTAAATATTCGGAAATTTTTTTATAATAATTACCTATTTCGGTGAGTATACCGTATGAGTTATTTTGTTTTATTTTAGTATGTATGTAGACATTTTTTCAATTAATTTATTCTAACAAATGATAAAAACAATTTAAAACTTAAATGTTTCTTGATAATTATTCTAATCTTTTGTGAGAATGATTAAACAATATAATTTAGACTATTAAAAAATATAGATTCCATGCTTTTGATAAATTATAAAATATGTATAAATATAAAATGTGAATAACGTGACTATTTCTCAAAATATTTTATATAATGGTGAATCTTTTGCTGAATGTATTCGAATGGTTTAAACTTATTTTGATCTCCACAATAATATTATAATTAAAAAAAATCAATTTTTTATTTTTAAACTACGCTAAATTTCTCTCAATATTTAAATTTTAATACATTATAGTTAAAATACTCCAATATTCAAATTTCAAAACAAAAGTTTTCTTCGTTTAGTCTTCGCTCTAGCGTGCGGAACTTAATATTTAAATTATTATTATTATTATGCAAATTACAAAATTTTTCATTTTAAAATATGAAATTTTTGAAAAATTTCAGATTCAAACTTTAAAAAAATTTAATTATTAACTAATTTACTAATTAATTATTCTTGTTTATTAATTTCAAAAATTTTAATAAAATTATTCGCAAAAATTAAATTATTATTATTAATAATATCAGTAAGAATTCAATTATTTTTTTAAATAGTAAAATATTTGTAAAATTTTCAGAAAAGAATTCAATTTAAAAATAAAAATTAATAAATCCTTCGAAAGAATTCAATTATATTTATAAATAGTAAAAATTCATTGCAAAAATTTAATTGCTTTCAACAAAATTTCTTGAAAGAATTCAATTATTTAAGAAAATTTTAATACGATTCTTCACAATAATTCAATACCTTTCACTAATAATGTTTTTCATAGAAATTTAATTTTTAAAAAAAAATTTTTGATAAAATTCAAAGCAAGAATTTAATTATTTTTAAAACTCATAAAAAAATTTCAATTATTTTTATTTTCAATTATTTTTAATGCTATTTTAAATTAATTAATCGAAAAATTTAATTATTTTCACAAATAAAATTTTCCACAAGAAAATTCTTATAAAGAATTCAATTATTTTCAAGAATAACAAAATTCTTCAGAGAAATTCAATTATTTTTAGGAACTTTAATACAACTTTTTGCAATAATTCTATATAATTTTTGAAAATTTTTATAAAATTCTTAGCAACTATTCAAGTATTTTCATAAATAAATACAGGAATTACTCAAAAAATGTAATTATTCTTAAAAATTTAATTTCAATTCTTCGAAGAAATCAATTATTAAAAAAAAAGTTTTTTTTTAAATCTTTGGAAGAATTCAATTATTTACAAAAATATTATAATCTTTCACAGGAATTCAATAATTTAATAATGTTTGAAAATTTTAATAAAATTCTTATAGCAACTGTTCAATTATTTTTAAAAATAATAAAATTCATCGCAGGATTTCAATTATTTTTAAATATTATAATAAAATTGTTCGTAATAATTCAATTAATTATTTCCATAAATAATATATAATTCTTCTTAGAAATTCAATTATTTTTAAAAACTATAAACTTAATCGAGGGAATAAAAAATCTTCGTAAGAATTCAATTCTTTTCATAAATAAGACATTTTTTTTAGGAATTCAATTATTTAAATTAGAATTTTCATATTATCATTAGTCAAAAGAAATCAAATATTTAAAAATTTTTATAAAATTACTTATAAATATTGAAATTCTTTCATGAATAATAAAATTCGTTGTATGTAGAAATTCAATTTATTTATTAACGCAGGATAAGAAAAAATTAAATGGTTTTGATGAAAATTAGGAAAAAGTTAGGAACATAAAATGTGGAATGGAATTTTTGTCAGTTTTGTGAAGTGTCTAAAATGAGTTTTTTTTTGGTCTTCAAGTTTAATTGATAGTTACTTTTTTACTACTTTCTTTTAGTTTGAAAGATACTTTTTGCTATACTTATTTTTTAAAATTAATTATCGAGTGTGTGAAGTCTGCCATTATTAACAAAAAATTCAAAGAAATTTTTCAAAAAGATTTTGATTAAAATTTTCAAAACTTTTAACAAAATTCTTCGCGAGAATTCAATTATTTTCTTAAGTAATAAAATTATTTGAAAGAATTCTATTATTATCAAATTTTTTGACAAAATTCTTTGTAACAATTCGATGTTTTTCAATACATTAATTTTAATAAAATTCTTATCAACTGTTTAATTATTTTTAATTGAAAATATTTAAAAAGAAAAACTATTAAAAAAAGTTAAGAAACAAAAAAGCAAACAACTCTATTACTAACTTTAAACTGCGAACAGATTACCGGAATATAACGATTATTAATATATAGATTTTTAAATAAAAAAATTATTCGTTTGACGTTACCTAAATCGAATAAAATTTTGTTGACTTATAATAAAGAAATTTAATTTAATAGAATAAATTTAAAATAGGACGTGGTTTTTATTTTCAGATTACATTCGTGCATTTAGTCAAAAGCAACCATGCAAGAAAATATAGGCAAGAGTGGTGAAGTAAAGTGCCAAATTTGCAATGAATTTTTTATTAATGAAATGTGGTTACTGGATCACGTTAAGAAAGTACATAGTGATTCATTGTACACTTGCACATACAGTGGTTGCAATGCTGCATATAGCAATGAAAATTCTCTTAGATCTCATTGCTATAGAAAACACAAAACTTTCTTTTCTTCTGGAAGGGGTGAATTTAGTAGAAATGTAAATGATACCAATTCAGAAGATGATCCTGATGAGCCTGACGATTCAGATACCACTTTCAGCTCAGATCAACCCGATGATGATTCTGGTGATGAACCTGACTATGAGCCTGACGATGATCCCGAAGATGATCCCGAAGATGATCCTGACGTTGATATGGAAGACAATCAAAATAATGATAATAATGCTTTTAAAAGAACAATTGCAGATTTTATATTATACCTGAGAGGCCGTACTAGAGCTACCAATGACGATGTTCTTAATATATTAAATGAGTTGCAGACAGTAGTAGAAATATATGTTCGGTATTACTTAAATCACACTGCACAAGTACTTGAAGAAGCCCTTCACATAAATCTCAATAACTACATAAACATAGAGGAAAGTATTGCAGGAATTAACTGTAGTTGTAACTTGGACAGCGTATATAAGCAAGATGTCTACTTCGAAAGAGAATATGGCGTGGTTAATCCTTTAATAAAAGAATTAGGCAGTTCATTTATTCCTTCTGGAGCACCCGCGAATGATGGAAATCAACCTATGCGTCGAAAGGCGGACCAATTGGTCCACATTCCTATAAGTAGTGTTCTACTTAGAATGTTTGAAAACATTGATTTCCATAGGTTGATTCAAACTCCAGAGGCACGCACAGATCAAGTTTTAGCTTCATACGTAGACGGAACTTTCTTTCAAAATCATCCATTCAGAAATCAAAAACCGAATTCATATTTCATTAGACTGTACTACGATGAAGCAGATATGTGCGATTCTTTAGGTTCGAAGGGAGGAGGAACAAACAAATTGGGATTCTTTTATTGGATGCTGGAAGATATGTTGCCAATTTATAGATCTCAAGTAAAATTTATTTTTCTTACCGGTATAGCTTCTCATTCGAATATTAAGAAATATGGAATGGATTCAATATTAAAAGTTTTTCTTGAAGATTTTAAGAAACTTGAAGACGGAATTAGGCTTCCCAGCGGTGAAATCATTTATTTTACTCTGTCCATTGTTTTCGGTGATAATCTGGCAGTTTGTGAACTTTGTGGATTCAAAGAATCGTTCGTTTCCACTCATTGCTGTAGGTATTGCATGGCTGACTTGCAACAAATCAGATCGATGATTAGAGAAGATGAAACATTGCTTAGAACTCCGCAAGAACATGATCGTCAAACTCGAGAAATTGAGGTCCAACTGGATGAAGAAAGAAAGAAAGAACTTTCAAAAGCTTATGGCATAAATAGACGATGCGTTTTAAATGAATTAATTGGCTCTCACGCAACACAAACGACAAATGATGTCGTTCACGACGACTTGTTGGGATATTGTATTTTAACAACAAGACTTTTATTAAATAACATTTGCCTCGAGAACGGATACTTGACTTTGGAAACTCTTAATTCTAGAATACAGGAGTTTGATTATGGTTACTCTCAGAAGTCATCTAAACCTTCAATAATTAAGAAGAAGCACTTAACAAATAAGAGAGAAGGTTTCAGACAGAATGCATCACAGATGTGGCAGTTGGTGACAATGTTACCACTTATCTTATGTGACTATGTACCAGAAGCTTGTCCACCATATCAAAATTTCCTACTGATGTTACAAATTTTATGCATTTCGTTTGGTGACAAAATAAGTGAACCTATGGTGAATTACTTAAATGGAGTAACTGCCGAGTACTTAGAGAGCTTCCAAGACATTTATCATATAAATTTAATTCCAAAGCAACACTATCTTCTACATCGAGCTTCACGAATTCTGAAATTTGGACCCGTCAGTCATTTTTCGACAATCAGAGAGGAAGCGAAACATCAAACTTTCAAAAGAGAAGCGCAAGGCAAACGAACCTACAAAAACTTACCCATTACGTTAGCTAAAAAACACCAGCTTTCCCAAGCATCAATCTTGACCGAAACTCTTTTCAATAAAGTTCAAACTGGACCCAAAAAGTTAATCGACACCGACAGAGATCCGTTCAATATATTCTTTGACAATGACACACGTGTGTACTCAACTTCGTGGACAAAATTAAATGGCGTCAAATATGTAGCTGGAAAATGTTTAATTGCAGTTGGCTACAATGAAGACAACTTACCACAGTTCGCCGCTTTGGATAAAATTTGTTTATTTGATGATGACACTGTACTTTTGTGTAAAAAAGTCGAAACATTACAGCATGATATGTCTGTAATGGCTTATGAAATCAAAATCGTTGAAGAGTTTGCGACATTTTCCTTTAACGATTTAATATCACATGATATTTTTCACTCCCACCAAGTAAAAGAGAAAACATTTGTAATTGTAAAAAAAGCATTGGGCGACTTACATTAATGGTTAATTTTATTTATTAAAGAATATACAAAGTCTTTTAAATGTAATTGAATAATGCTCCAAATTATTTTCATTAAGAAAAACAAATGTTTGAACTAAAATGTGATTCAAAAATATGTAAATATTTCTCCTTTTTCTAAAATTATTATTTATAGTAATTATATATTTTTATTGTCTATATATACAAAATGCGTCCTTGGATCTTTTTTAGAATTTTTATTTGCGTTCACCTGAAATAAAACATCCATTCCATTTCGATTATTCGGAAATTCTTCAATTAAATATTGAAAAATATAAACTTCAAACAGTTTCAAAAATATCCAATTACATTTTTTCAAAAAAATAAATAATTAAAATTATGAAACCTTCCTAAAATTCAATTATTTATAAAACTTCACGCTTTAAGGCTTTTAATATACAATTATTATCTAAAATTTTAACTGAAATTCATTTTTAAATAAATTTCTTTCGAAAATTCTAGGAATCAGAATTTTGACGAATTTTAATACAATTTTTAAAAGTAATTTTGTAATAATTTTTTGAGTTATTGAATCTTTCTTAACATTGAATTCTAATGAAGAATTTTATTGAAAATTTTTTTAAACAATATCATTCTTTTGACGAATTTTTAATAAAAATTTTAATGATAATTACATTTTTCGACGAATTTGATTAAAAATGTATTAAAAATAATTAAATCCTTGTAAAAGAATGTGATTACTTGTAATAATAGAATTATTGTAAAGAAATTTATAAAAAATTTGTAAATAATTGAATTCCTGCTTAAAATTGTATTAATTTTTGTTTTTAATAATTTAATTGTTTTGTAAAACTTTATTAAAATATTAGATATTAAAAATCATTGAATTGAGGAAAATTTCTAAAAATAATTTAAATTTTGACAAAGATTTTATTAAAATTATTGAAAATAATTATATAAATTTGTAAAAAGAATTTTATTATTTATAAAGATAATTACAATTTTTACAGGAATGTTTAAAAAATTTTGAATAATAATACAAAAAACCCAATAACTTTAGAAAGCAATGTAAGTTTCCAGGATTCCGATCAAAATTCCCTAATATTTCCAGGTTTCCAGGTTGCTCGGCAACCCTGAATCTCTTCAAGTACATCAGGCCTCGTTTCCACTTTAAGGTCCAAAAAGTCGCTTTAGTCGATTAAAAATACAATAAAAAGTTATTTTTTAATTCACAGATGTCACAAAAATTTTATTTTGTATTTCCCTGATTTTCCACTTTCACTGAATTCTAAACTTAATTATTTAAAATTTAAATAATTTGATATTAAAATTTTTAAGATTTAATTATTTTTAGAAACATTTAAAATTCTTATTTACAAAATCTTTACTTTAAATTAATAATCAATTAATTTCAATTTTAACAAAATTTCTTTTGAAAATAAGTCGATAGTCATATAATATCCGAGGCCTGAAACATCCATTTTTTTTACATTTGGATACCTATAAAATAGTATATGTTAATTATTATAAATATTTTATTCATGAATTGGTTAAAATAAATTATCTATTTTTAATCAAATTTACACCTACCTATGTACACAAACAAACACATTCAAGTCAAATTTTTCTTTAGAATGAAAACTTCTTTTTACTGTAATCGAAAATTTAGATCACTGTACGAAAAAATTTAGAACATCTTTTTCTCTGCTTCAATAAAAATTAAAAACACTTCAATGCAACTTTGCTATTTTTATACTTTGAAAAGAATTGTAATAAAATATGAACTTTTTTAATTTTCTGGTTTTAAGGTTAGATTTACTTTACATGTATACATACTGGGAAAAGAATGTTAGATTTTAAAGTAATACATTTATGATGTTCTTTTGATTCACTTCTATCCAAAACTACTAAAATTGCCGATATTTTTATTTAAAATCAAGTTTTGTTTACAATTTTTCTATTTATTGTGAATTCACACCACTAGATGTGGGAAAGATCTAAAGGCGCAAACACAGCTCGGCTGTCTGCTTGCCAGGGATAGGTTTAGACGCGTCACTCGAGGTTTTATACGTATAATACATTTTGGACGTATTATACGTATAAAACTAGGTAAAATACATAATGCTGCCTCTACAATACAGAAAAATGTTAAGAAACGCGCGACGCAGACGCGAAACGCGAGAATAATACATGGCAATTTTTTGCGTTTCGCGTCTGCGTCACGCGTTTCTCACTTTTTTCGTATTGTAGAGGCAGCATTACAGGTAGTCAAAACTTTATTTTTACGATTTTCAAATTTTGCGCCACAACTCTTAGTTTTTAGACAGTTGGCACCATTGCCTGTCAACCAACAAGATTTTCCAACCTAAAAGTTACTTTATTTAGATCCATTGGAAAATTAACTTCGATAAGTTTAATTGATATAACAAATTTAAATACTTAATTGATATACTTTGAAAAAGTTCTTTTAATCATTAAATAAAAATGAAGCCGATATGGTTGATTTTGATACTTTTATTCCACTGTTCTTCACAGTATATTAATTACACCACTATTAGTGTTATAACAACACCACTATTAGTATTACTGCAACACCACTTTTGGCGTTAAAATATCACTACCATTGGTGGTAAAACAACACCACTGAAAATAACACCATTTACAAATCACACGCAACAAATTTAACACTTATTTTTTTCTGTGTGAAAACGGTAGGCCTAACTTGTAATTTGACCAAATCACAATTTTACACAGAAAGAAGGTTAAGTTTGGAGATACTTAGTCTGAAAACACATTTGCTGTGAAAAATTTGTGTGATTTTGTCAAATGGCAAGTTAGTCACTGGCCACCACTGCGTATATAAAAATTAAAAAATTTTAAATAAATAGATCCCATCGTTTGCCCACGATCGGACAAGGCTTAAAAATTGTTAATTTAGTACTAGTTTCTTACAACAAATTTTGAAAAAATTGATCGATACATACATTGTTAAAAATGAAATTTTATTTAAAAAATTTTAAAATCTTATCGTAAATTATTTAAAAATTTTTTAAAAATATTTTTATTAAAAACTATGCGTGAAAACAAAACTTTTCATTATAATAACGTCCAATTTGATCAATTTTTGGCCGAGTTATAAGCATTTGAAACAAAAATTTACGTAAAAAACGTCATTTTTCAAAAATCTATATCTCCTGAACCGCTTTATGAAAAAATTTAAAAAAAAACAAGGTAGCTCATTTCAAAGAGTACTAAAAGAAAAAAAATGTTTAAAAAAAAATTTGAGATGCAAAAGCAAAATAATTTCCGATTTGGCCTGGAATGCCCCAAATATTTAGGGTCATTTGGGGTAAATGTAAACAAGGGGTAAATGTAAACAGTAGATGTTTCAGCTAAATTTACAAATTTAAAAATAAGTACGACGTCAATATTTTTACCTCAGCTCACCTACAAGATGTTCTCAGTATTGCCAATATTTTATTTTGACATTTGGCAATGCCATAGTGTAAGTTATCTTTTAATGCAAAAAAGATTGAAAATCAAAGTTTTACTGTTTCAGTATTTTGTCTCGCATTTGCATAAAAATAAATTAACAAAAATTGACTTTGATTTTTGATTTTCGTCAATTTAGTTAATTTAAGTGTTTACATTTACCCCGAGAATTCGAAAACTCGGAGTAAATGTAATAACAGAACTTGAACTACATTTTAAAAGAAAATAATTGAATAAATTTGCTTCTATTTCACAATTTCATTACTTTGGCAATGTTTTCACATAGAAAAGGAAATTAGGTCTTCTTTCATACCTCCTTCGTGTTAGTCAGTTAGTCATAGTTCTCTCTAAATCTGAATCAGCGAAAAAATCGCTGTTTTAACCAGTGAACGAAGTTTCCGCTGAAAAATAGTGGAAGTTACTGAAGATCAGTGGATGTCACTGAAGAAATCAGCCAACTCTGCATGTGCGCAGGAGTGTCAAAGACTAGTAGCGTAACCGATAATACGTCACCGCTGATTGGACCAGTGACTATTCGCTGATTCTCAGTGGTATACTTATAGTTTATGTTTGACCGCCATATTGGATCCACCATTTTGAAATTTAAAAATTCGATTTTAGATTCTTATTCAGCAACCTTAAGGGGGTCACCCCGTGTGGCAGACGTTTTTTAAGAGTTTTTTTTTGGGATTTTCTTTTTAAGAACCATGGAATCTTAGGAATTCAAAATTTTTACCATATATTCAGTTACATTTTAACAACAAATTTAAATTTTTACAAGTAAAAATATTTTAATGATTCCGAATTATAAAACTGGAAAGTAATGATGATCATAAAAACGCCGTCTATCTCTATTGGCTAAACTAAAATCGAAAAATCAAAAGGCATCTTAATCTGTGAGGATGTGGCTATCGCCGGAACTAGAATTATTTGAAAATATAAAAAAATGAATTTTTTACGCGACTTCGAAATTTTTTTTTCAAACAAACGTAATTTTTTTGGTCTTTTTTCTTGCATAAAATAGAAACAACTTGACCTTTTTTAATTATCCTAGTTCGGGCGATAGCCATACATGTGCTGAACACGCCCTATAAATTTGTGCGATATTGGTCAAGCTGTTTTTGAGATATCATGGACGCCAGTTTGAAAAACACAGTTTTGAGAAAAACGCCTATCAAAGCTTAAGTAATACATTGTTCGCTTGGCAACTCCTTGTCTTCTCAGTGCTGTAACTTTCTTAGGATGTCAAATATTAAAAATCCTCTTTACCCACATATACTACACATATAGTAGATGTGATTTATGGAAAGAAAATTTTTTCGATTTTTTGAACCCATCACACGGGGTGACCCTCTTAAGGGGTAACATCACCCAGAGCCTATACAAAATATGGTCTATTTCAATTAATTATTTTAAGAAAACGGTCCAGTACAATGTTGCTGCGTTTTCTCCAACGTTAAACACATGGATTAAACTTAATTTAAAAATAAAACAAAAAAAACTTTTTTCAAAATGGCGCCTTTACACATCCAACAGTGAAAAAATTGTAAAAAAACTGGCTGGAAGGATTTCTCCAACATTTTTTGACGGATTCAATTAAAATTTAGACTGTAGCTTTAAAACAACATTCTTTATCGAAGTACATAGGATTTTTTAGATCGGTTAATGCGTTTCCGTTTTATAACCATTTTTACCAGAGCGGCGAAACTATTGCCGTGGAAGTTAAAACAGTATTTGTAGTTCTTATAGTCGTCTTTCATAGCTTAGATGTCACTAGTATCTGTGTTTACATTTTCGGTTTTGAACTTGTGACTTTTCCAAGTTGTGGAATAAGTACTTTTGAACT